GGCCGCCGAATCCTTGCACCCGGAATCGATCTCCGCCCTCTCGCCGCTCGTCGCCTCCCCCGATTCCCTCTTGCTTCCTTGCGCGCTGTCCTTTAAACTCTGACTTCCCGACCGAGATTCCCCTCGAACCTCGACAGAGTCATCCCGACCCCCCTCGACGATCCTCCTCCGCGACATGGCCCTGCCTCTATCGACCCCTACCTCACCCTCGACCCTATTATCACCACTATCTTTCGAATCAGCCTTGCCACCCTGGCTCTGCAAGCCCTTCGACGTTTTTCGATACACTTTGGCGTAAATCGCATTTCCGTGGGGGCTGCTTGTGCCGATCGACGCTGGCGAGGGATGGTAAGGAGGGGTGTCGGGCACAGGATCGCGAAGGTGCCTGGTGCTCGTGCGAAACTCGACCGAATCCGCGCCGCACGAGGCCCTCCTCAACGTGGCCGCGTTCGAGGGCAAGGAGCTCTTCCTTCTTCGTATCCTTCCGTAAACGGGCGGCTCCCTTCTCACAGCATCCTTGGCAAGCCTGGGGTTGGCCCAGTCCTCGGCCGAGATCCTGGCCGATCTCGACGCGTGAATTATCTTGGGCAAGGTCGACGGTCTCGGGACAAGGCCGCGGGTAATGTCCTGCAGTCTGCTGGTGACTGCCAGGAGATCGCACACCGACTTGGACTCTCTCTCGTCCTCCTTGCCCCACCCGTTGCTTCTCGGCCGCGGGACGCTCTTCCTAGGAAGGCAACTGGAGGAAGGTGGCCCGCCGCCACCTTTCACCTCTGAACTTTCTACTACCCTCTCCTCTGCGTTCCCACTACCACGGGACGTGATAGCCACCAGGGCTGACGCGATAGGCACGTCCACGCTCGCCCTTCGACGCAATATTTCCTGCCTCGAGATCTTCCTTCCGCTCTGAACAGGTTTCCACCAACTTTCCTTGCCGCATCGCCTCGCCGTCGAGGGAAGGGTTCTAGGNCCTCCGCCGCCTCTTCGCCTTCCTCCACCCGCCTCCATCGTTCGCCCGTTTTTCTCCACGGATTTTCCCCCTTCTCCTCGCCGTACTTGCGCAGGATCTCTCTTCGGGACACAGCCACGTCTCGGGGAACCGTGTGATANAACGGGGCCTGCTTTCGCGCGAAATTCGCTGGTTTTTCCATGGTCGAGCGCGGGTCCAGATTCAGATTCCTGTCCCGGGTGGAGGAGGCTCGTCGCCTGGCGGCGTCGCGTTCCGACGATCCGACGCTGGTATTTGGAGCGGAGTTCGTATCTGGGTCTGGGCCGGCGGAATTATGCAATGCGCGTCGGGCGGATAACGGTTCCACGCCGGCGTGGAAAGCTTCCGAGCGAGCGAAGTTTCGTGACGGAAACCGATTCTTCGAGGTCGACGATCGCGTCGTAGGCCCGCTCTCGCCTCTCCTCTTGCACGCTATCGCGGACTCCATCCTTGCGTGGATGCGCTTCGTCGAAGCTCGGCTTTAATCCTCATTTGGAGGTTAGAATCTCCTCGATGCCGAGCGTTTACGGGATCCTTTGTTTACGAATTTATTACTCGATCGCATTTTTATCTCGAAGAAGAAGAAGATGAGTTTGGAGTCGATGAGTCGATGGTCAATGTTCAATCGTCGGCTTTGATTTCCTTTTTCTTCTTTTTACAATCTCGAAGAAGATGAGTTCTAGAACCTTGACGAAAGTAAATGGATGAAAGAAGGAATGGTCGAGTTTTATCGATTTCAATAGAAATCGTCGACTCTTCTGCACGCGCGAAATCTCGAAGAGGACGATTTGGTTCACTCGTCGATCTCCTCGCGTCCTCGAATTTCCTTCGACTCGCGCGACGAAGAACTGGAAGAGGCACGTGAGTTACGTCGTCGTGGCTCGTTAAGAGTCGTTTGATACGTCGTGGAAAGCTTTCGTGAGTCATCCAGTTCGCCACTTTCTATCCGAGGAGTGGTAACTGCTCGTAAAACGTACGGAACGGACGATCGACCTGTTTAGAAGCGTTATTCCAGGGATAATGGAATGTTCTGTCGAACACATTTTTTCAACAACCACGTTAACGGGAACGTCAATTAAATCACAAACAGACCACGAAACACTCGTAATTCACCTATCTGTTGGTCCAATTTCGTTTAACACATTCTCGATACTCGAGAATTCGACTGGTTATCAGATCTAATCTTGTATTTGTTTTCTTCGAAGTACCAGTTCGATCGGAACCACCTAATATCTTCTAACTGTAAATCTTCTTATATACGTTCTCACTTTTATCGCATAAATATTTATTTATTAAAAATCGAATTAGAGATAAGGCCGAGATAAGGTTGAATTTCGAGTTGATAATATTTTTCTTTCATCGAGAAAGGAAGACGAATGTTAAAAATATACTTCACACCCGATCGATTCGATTATATTACACCAGGAGATTAAATTATATTCCCTTCACGCGTCTATTCGCCACGAGGAAATGCAAACTGCTTCAGGGTTCAAGGTTAACGAACAGTTAAGACCTCTCGCACGTTCGTACATTAGTATTCTTTCTATTTGCAGAAAGCTTGGGCACACATGACCCGGCTCTCGGACATCTCTCAATAGTTGCCTTGCATAAGTCGAAACCAGAGACGTCGGTGACCCTGTTTTCGTTCCGTGGTATGCCGTGGTATCGTCTTATTAAA